TGCATATGAAGGATAGTGGGAGAGGGACACCCTACAGGGGCCACTGAAAAAGCAGACAAACCAGCAAAGAGTCAATCCTTAAAAGATAAAGTTGTGCTAAGATTAATAGTTGCTATGTATGTATGTATGTATGTATGTATGTATGTATGTATTTTCAGTGCATTCCCTAACCTCAGAAGTAGGTGTCAGAGTAAAGAGTTTTGGATTGGCTGGGCATGGTGGCTCACTCCTGTGATCCCAGCACTTTGGGAGGCCGAGGCAGGTGGATCACTTGAGGTCAGGAGTTCAAGACCAGCCTGGCCAACATGGTGAAACCCCGTCTCTACTAAAAATACAAAAATTAGCCGAGCGTGATGGCATGCGCCTGTAGTCCCAGCTAGTCTGGTGGCTGAGGCAGGAGAATCGCTTGAACCCTGGAGGTGGAGGTTGCAGTGAGCCGAGATCATGTTACTGCACTCCATCCTGGGAGACAAAAGTGAAACTTCGTCTCAAACAAAACAGTTTTGGATTGACAGAGCAGCTGGAGAAATAGGGGAACCTCAGGGTGGGTATGTTAAAAAATCTCAGTATAAGCTGTCCAGTTCCTTGGCTGACTGCTAAGCTCCACGGACACAAAAGGAGACCAGGCTAAAAAAGCAGCAACTGGAAGTTGTAAAAACTGAGCAAAGAGATCAGCTGCTGCAAACTGCTGGAAGACAGAATTTGAAGTTTGAGTACAGGAATGTTTACTGCCAGCTAGAGTACAAAAAAAAACCAGTAATACCCAGAAGAATAAAGCAGAAACTAGAGTTGGTAATAAACTATCCACAATGTTAAGTTTGTAGCCAAAAATTACCAGACATGTAATGAAACATAAAAGTGTGACCCATATTCAAGAAAAAAAAAGTCAGACTATAGTAATTTATTCTAACTACAGACAGGTGTTGGATTTATTAAATAATTCAAACCAGCAATTACAAATGTGCTCAGATAAATTAAGGAAAACATGGTCTCAATTAGCCAACATAAGGAATCTTGAGAAACTGAAACTACAAAAAAGACAAATGAAAAGAGCCAAAAAATATAATGGAATTTAGAAGATAAGCACAAGACTAGAAATAGAAGAATCAGTGAACTTAAGGATACATCAGTGGAAATGATCTAATCTGAAAATCCATTAAAAAAAGAAAGAAAATTGAACATGTCCTCAAAGACTTATGGGACAATATCAAGCTTTTCAACATATGTTTAGTTGGGGTCCTACAAAGAAAGGAGAGAATTAAGTATTTAAAAAGTGTTTAACAAAACAATGGTTAATAATGCTCCAATTTTGGTGAAAACATTAACCTCTAGATTCAAGAAATTCAATGATCCCCAATGGGGAGAAAAACCACTTAAGTGCATCAAAACCAAACTACTGACAAGCAGAACTCTATGAAGGGATCATTTTACTGTATATGTATTATACTTAAGTTAAAATATTTCAAAACAAACAAGGAAAGGGAATAAATATAGGATTAGAAAACAATGAAGTAGAAAAACAGAGTGAAGCATGTAAAAAAAAAAAAGCTAGGATTTTGAAAAGGCCAATAAAACTGAAATCTCTAGCTACACTAATCAGAGGGAAAGAAAATAAAAATTTTGAATAGCAAGAATGAAAGAGCAGACAGGGTGTGGCAGCTCTCGCCTGTAATCTGAGCCCTTTAGGAGGGCAAGGCAGGAGGATCACCTGAGGTCTGGAGTTCGAGACCAGCCTGGCCAACATGGCAAAACCCTATCTCTACTAAAAATACAAAAAATTAGGCAGGCATGGTGGTGCACACCTGTAATCCCAGCTACTTGGGAGGCTGAGGCATGAGAATCACTTGAATCTGGGAGGCAGAGGTTGCAGTAAGCCGGGATTGTTGCCACTGCACTCCAGCCTGGGAGGCAGAGTGAGACTCCATCTCCAGAAAAAAAAAAAAAAAAAAAAAGAATGAAAGAGTAAAAGAGTAGACATTATTAAAGATCCTAAGACATTAAAGATTGGCGGAGATTATAAACAATTTTATGGCAATAAAGTTGACAATTTAATTGAAATAAATGACTTCAAAGACTAATTACAAAAACTCAGGAAATAAAACCTGAATAGCCCAATATCTATTGAGAAAATTGGATTTGTAATAAAAAATATTCAAATAAAGTATAATCTGTGCCTTCACTGGTGAATTCTATCTGACATTAAGAAAAATACCAATTCTATATAAACTCTTCCAGAAAGCAGAAGAGTGAACACTTTCCAAATCATTTTATGTAGCCAGCATTACTCTGACAGCCAAAACGAGACAAAGGCATTATAAGAAAAGAAAACCATAGACCAATATCCCCCCGGGAACATAGATGGCAAAAATCCTTAACAAAATATTAATGAATCAAATCCAGCTATACATACCAAGAATAAACCATGACCAGTGGTATTTAACCTGGGAATTCAAGGTTATTTTAACATTGAAAAAGCAATGTAATCTACCATAAATAAAATAAAACGCCTTATGATCATTTCAAAAGATACAGAAAAACTATTTGAAAACATGTTATAATACATTCATGATTAAAAAAAAAAAAAAAAAAAACTCAGTAAACCAGGAATAGAAGAGAACTTCCTCAACCTGATAAAAAGATTTACAATAAAGAACCCTACAGCTACTATATTTTGTGTTGAAAAACAGAATGCTTTCTCCCTCAGACTGAGGGACAAGAATGTCCACTCTCACCATTTCTATTTAGCAGCAAACTGCTAAGGTCCTAGTCATTGCAATCAGGCCATAAATAAAAGGAATACAGATTGGAAAGAAAAGAGAAACTATTTACAGATGACATGATAGCATATTTTAAAAATCCTAAGGATCTTCCAAAAACAGCTATTAGGATTAGTAAGTGAGATTAGCTAAGTCTCAGGATCCAACACCAATATACAAAAAAATCTATTTTATTTCCATATACCAGCAAAGATTCCACTTACAGAATTCAAAAATTTGAAATAATAAATTTTACAAAATATATATAAAGTCTGTAGAGGAAATACTGTAATATATTGTGGAGAAAATTAAAGATGACCTGAGAGATATTTCATGTTCATGGTATAGAAAACTCTATATTAAGATGTCAAATATCTTTAAGTTGACCTATAGATTTAATGGAAACTCTATATCCCAATTTTTGGAGGAACTGACAAGCTCCATTCTAAAATCTACATAAAACACAAAGGACCTAGAATAAACAAAATAACTTTGAATAAACAAAGCTGGAAGGTTTATGCTACCTGTTTTAAGGACTACAATATAGATCAAACAAGATTGTTTTGGGTCTTCTATGTCTTTTGCATTTCCAAATTTAAAAAACTGACATACATTGAGTGTGTAAAGCAACTAGAATTCTCATACACTGCTGGTGGATATATGAAATGGTACAACCATCTGGCTATTTCTTACACAGATAAACACATACTTACCATGTGATTTAGCAACTGTCCTCTTAGGTATTTACTCAAGAGAAATGAAAATGTGTTCACACTGAGACTTACACTCAAATGTTCACAGCAGCTTTACTCATAATAGCAAAAGCTGAAAACAACCCAGATGTCCATTTAATGGTAAAGGGAGAAATTATGGTATATCCACACAATATAATGTACTACCCAGCAATAAAATGAACCAACTACTGATACATGCAACATAGGTGAATCTCAACATTATACTAAGTGAAAGAAATCAAACAGCACTGTTCTATTTACATGAAATTCTTAAATAGTTAAAACTAATATTGAGACAGCAAGTTCAGGATAGGCTAGGTTGGGGAGGAATTAACTGTAAATAATTTTCAGGGTAACAGAAGTGTTCTGTATCTTTACTGGGGTGGTGATTATATAGTAGCATCTACTTGTCAAAACCTATGTAACTGTAAAGTTGGTGCATTTTATGTTAATCATATTTCAAAGTTAATTTCAAAAACTTCAGTGAATCTCTATTAGTCATTAGGATAAATCCAGTAGCAAGAAGGTTCTATAACATCTAACCCCTACATACCTCTCTGGCTTTATCTTGTATCGTCTCTGCCTCACTCCATGCCAGCCATGTTGGGCTTCTCATCCATTAGAACACATATGCTGTCTCCAGCTCTTGACTTTTGCAACTACTCTTTCCTCAAACGCTCTTTCTTTCCCCAACTCTTGTTCATCCTTGATTTATTCCTCATGAAAACCACCCCCCAAATCTTGGACTAGGATAAGACCCTTGGTATATACTTAACAGCACTACTTTTTCACTATACTTTTCATATTGGCAATTATTTGCCTTATTATTGATAATCATGTATAAAGTGTGTTTCCACCCTCTAGATCAGAAGCTCTATGAAACCCGGGTTATCTATTTTGTTCACCACTCTTCTGAGTCCCTGATATACAGGAAATCCTCAAATCTTTGCTGATAAAGCAAGCAAATTAAAAAAATCTAAAAATTCTAAATAAAAGAGCCTATATAATTTAACAATATATTAACAATACATGTTTAAGTAGGGCTTATTGTAAGAAATAAAGTTTAGTATTTGGAAGTGTATTTCTTTATGTAATTCATAAAATATATCAAATAAGATAAACTATCTCCAACTACTGCTAGTAGCAGTAGTTGACTGCTACTAAGTCAATATTATTCTAAAAACATTAGACAATGCAATACAAATAGTAAGTGAACATGTCAAGATTTCAAATTAACAGTAAGTAAAAATCAAAGTATTTCAATCAGATTAAAAATATGTAAAAATGACAAACTATAACTAGTGCAGAAAGAAATGGATACTTGAATACAGATGATAGGAGTGTAAATTGCCTAGCTTTTCTAGAGGTCAGTGAGGCAGTCTTTTGTTGTTGTTGTTGTTGTTGTTGTTGTTGAGACGGAGTCTCGCTCTGTCGCCCAGGCTGGAGTGCAGTGGCCGGATCTCAGCTCACTGCAAGCTCTGCCTCCCGGGTTTACACCATTCTCCTGCCTCAGCCTCCCAAGTAGCTGGGACTACAGGTGCCCGCCACCTCGCCCGGCTAGTTTTTTGTATTTTTTTAGTAGAGACAGGGTTTCACTGTGTTAGCCAGGATGGTCTTGATCTCCTGACCTCGTGATCCGCCCGTCTCGGCCTCCCAAAGTGCTGGGATTACAGGCTTGAGCCACCACGCCCGGCCAAGGCAGTCTTATAAAATGCCTTAACATGCACATTTCTTCTAGGAATCAAGAAAACATTAGACAATCGTACAGTACTGAGTGATTTTAATGTGGTTTTCTTTATAATACTGAAAAATAGAAATCATCAGCAATAAGTGGCTGAGGATAATTTGATATATTCATAAAATACAATACCCATACAGACTTTAAAATGACATTCCATATATATATGGGCATATATTTGACATTGACAGATGTATACAAGTAGAAAAAAAGTATATATATGGAATGACACTCAAATATACATATTTAGTGACAGAGTGTTACTTGTGTCACCCAGGCTGGAGTGCAGTGGTATGATCATAGCTCACTGCAGCCTCAACCTCCTGGATTCAAGTGATTCTCCTGCCTCAGCCTCCCAAGTTGCTGGCACTACAGGTGTAGTATCACCACACCCAGTTAATTTAAAAAAATTTTTTTTAGACACAGGGTCCCATTATGTTGCCCAGGCTCACACATATATATTCAAAGACATAGAAACAACTTTCTAAGAACATTTATTGACATGTTAACAACATTTCTCCCTTGCAGGAATTATACATTTCCCTCATTTTTGTATTTTTCTCTGTTGAAGGTTGATAGAACAACAGAGCACTTTCTAAAAATAGTTCAAACATCGGATGCAAAGGGATGAGCTGCTAGGTTATTTCCTTAGGTGACTGTTGTGGTTGTTAAAAGTATACTGGGGACTGTGAACACTTTAAGGTTCTAAAGGTTAGACAGGCGTTTCTCGAAGTGCATTCCCACACCATCCTCTTCAGGATCTGGTATGCTAAGAGTTTCTTTGTTCCCACCCTAGCTGTATTGAGCTAAGATCAATGGAGAGGGAACCTAGGACTGGAATTTTAAACAAATGCCCAAGGAGATTCTTATGCAGAGTGATATTCGAGAACCCCTGTGATGCTGCCTATAAAGCTACAGGGCAGACAGTTGAAAGTTGCTCTTGCAGAGGGAAAAGGCTGCCCAGTTTGCAAGCAGCAGTTTAGGTGAACTTTCCTTTCCCTGTGCTTTGGCAAGCTTGCTTCATCACCTATTTATGATGTTTGCACATATAGTTATATCTATATCTTGTCTCTATCCTTTCTACCAGTTTGTTTTATCTTACTTGGGGCCATATTACCAGGGTATATCATTTTATTATATATGATATCTGATAGGATTATCACATGGCTATCACAAGGATATCACATAGGATTATCAGATATCATATATAATAGGTATATTATTATAATATAGGTATATATATTATATAGGTGTATATATAATAGGTGTATATTATATATAATAGGTGTATTATATTATATATTATATAGAAGAGGTGTGTTATTTCCCATGACACTTTTTTTTGGCTCCTCCATTTAGCTTTAAGTAGTAAAGTGTCATTCAAATCAGCTTTTTCATAACCAGAAAATTGTGACCTAACTGGAATCAGAAACTTTTCACAGCCAATTATCTAAACCAGTTCTGATGTGGACAATAACTGGGAAAATGGCAGTGTAGGTACTGTCTCTTCCAGAACCATCTGCTTCTACTTATGGTATCTTTTCAGCAGCTACAGGGTCAGTCTGTCATGCAAAAGAGCATTAATTAAGCAGTTCTCTCTCCAGCAGATACTTGAAGGAAATTCACAACTCAATTTCCACAGCAATTGGCTCCCAATACACCTTTTCTTAGAGAGAGATAGTGACCATTTTATTTTCTGTGGTTTCCATTTTCTATGGCACCATACTCCTACACCCCCAAGCGGGCCTTACCGGCATGGTGATCTGGATGGGTTGCCGTTCTCCACTCTTGGTCGGGGTCACACCTTCTGTGTCATATGTACCCGTATAAACAACTCTGTCCCCATCAGGCTCTTTTGACTTCAGTTCCAGTGGGACAAGCACACCGCCAATGGAAATATTCCTGCAATAGACTTGAGTTGACCACATATGGTTGAAATTAGCCTATGCACCCTGTCCTGTTCTGGACCAAAACTCTAGGCAGGAAACTTACAGGGTTTAGCTAAGGGGACACTGTGGTGTGGGAGAAAGTTCTGAAAGTTCAGGAGGCAGTGCTTCTCCTCTTTAGTTAGGAATTAAAAACCAACCTATATCACCAGCCCCAGACATTAGGATTCAGTTGGCCTGAGATGAAGTTTGTACACTGTTAAATTTATTTTAAGGTTATCTAGGTGATCTTTTTTTTTTTTTTTTTTTTTTTTTTTTTTTTTTTTTTTTTTTTTATCTTGTTGTAGGGAACCAAGGAAGTCTGGCTTTGTCGCCCAGACTGGAGTGCAGTAGCCGGATCTCAGCTCACTGCAAGCTCTGCCTCCCGGGTTCATGCCATTCTCCTGTTTTTTTTTTTTTTTTTGTTGAGACAGAGTCTGGCTTTGTCGCCCAGACTGGAGTGCAGTGGCCGGATCTCAGCTCACTGCAAGCTCTGCCTCCCGGGTTCATGCCATTCTCCTGCCTCAGCCTCCCGAGTAGCTGGGACTACAGGCGCCCGCCACCTCGCCCAGCTAGGTTTTTGTATTCTTTAGTAGAGACGGGGTTTCACCGTGTTAGCCAGGATGGTCTCGATCTCCTGACCTTGTGATCCGCCCGTCTCGGCCTCCCAAAGTGCTGGGATTACAGGCTTGAGCCACCGCGCCCGGCTAGGTGATCTTAATATGCAGGTACGATTGAGAATACTGAACTCGTCCTCTAATATATATATTTTTCTCCTGTTCCAACAACCAGGGGTCCTATGATTTGGAATACCTCAAGCCTTCTACACCATCAGAAATTCTCACTGGCATCATTCCTTTGTGTTAGGATAATGGTTCTCAAAGCTAAGTCCCTGGACCAGCAGTATCAGCATCACCTGCAGACCTTAGAAAATAAATTCTTAGGCCCTACCATAGACTGAACTAGCAACTCTGGGGAGAGCTCCAGCATCTGTGTTTTAACAAGCCCTTCAGGTGATTCTGATGTGTACTCAGGTTTGAGAACCACTGGGTTAGAGTTGAAAAATCTTTGATAACATTAAAATGTAACCAGAAAAAATAGTTTTGTTCCTAACAAATTAACTTTTAGATTAGTTTGAACACTAGAGGAATACTCTGGAAAAAAATGGAACATAGAACAGATAACTCCGGGGATAAGGTTGGCAGGAAAGAAGGGAAAGGAAAAGCCTGGATTATATCTAGGTGCACAACACCTGGAAATGTGAGACTAAAGGGTGCATGGAGCTGTGGGGGATGCTGACAAATAGATAGACCAGGAGTACCAGAAACCATCCAGATTTGGTTCTAGGTCCTTGCACCTCGGAAGACTAATACAAGTTTATTGAATTAAAACGTAAGCTATAAGTAGTGTCTGATGAATTCAAAGTCCTTCCACCCCTCAATAATGCCCACCGTGTAGTAGATACAATAAACGCTGGTTTATTTTCTCTCTGCAGACTAGACTTTTTGGTAGACAGAAGCGAGAGGTAAAGGGCTCCACCCGCAGTTCTTCCCGGTAGGCTACTGCATGCTCCCACACACTTTCCCGCCAGAGGTCTACTGGGTGCATCATCCAGTGGTCGCTGGGAGGAGATCATCCCCGCCATGGATAAACCAAAAAAACATCCTCTTGCTGTGAGGATGTTGCTAATCCCAGGCACCATCACCAGGCTGAACAGACAACTCAGGAGAAAAAGAAAAGCTTGCTTACGGCATGGAAAACCGTGAAACTAGGCCAGAGAAGGGGCTGCCGCTCTCATACTAGTGCCTGCTTCTCCACCCCAGGGTCCCAGCCTCAGAATGGCGAAGGGAGTAGGGAGCATCCCTCAGGGAGCCCCAGTAACCATCCCTCCCCTGCCTTTCCACCTCATTCCTCCTTTCTCCCTCCTTCAGCCTTGCGGGCAGACCCGGTGGGCCGCCTGGACGGCGCAGGGGGGCTGGGATTGCTGTAGGTGAACCCTGCGGACGTCTCCCATCTGCTCCACCCCGACCGCCTGCGGTTCCGCGCCCAAGGCTGGACAGAAGGCAGGAAAATTTTATAAGAAACAGACAAGCAAAAACCCTGGCTTCTTGTCGCTGATTTTAAAGAACTCATTGAGGTCACCGCGATAGGTGGAGGGAAGCGAGAATGCAGGACTACAAGCCGAAGGGAAGGAAGGGGACGAAGGCGGACAGGGAGTGACCTCTTCCCCCAACCCCCGGGCCCGCTGGGCGCGGAGCGAGGCCAGAGGCCCCTGAGAGGCTCGGGCTGTCCCGGGGGCCTCGGTCCTCCGTCTGTACCCCATGGGGGACCCTGCCGCCACCAGGTGCCCCGCACTCACTCGACCTGCAGCGTGCTGGGCTTAATCTTCACCTCAACCTTGTAGGAGGAGCCGGTGAGCAGCTTGATGGTGCGGTTCTGGCCGAAGCGCTGCCCGTCCACCTTGTAAAAGACCGGGCCGTCATTGGGCTGGATGCGCAGCGCGATGGAGAGGCGCACGAGGCCCGGCAGGTCCCCCATGTCTGGGCGAGGGTCTGGCGCGGCGGCTCCGGGGGGCGGAGGACAGCGCGGGCTGCGGCCGAGTGGCTGGAGCGCGAGGGGCGGAGAGGAAGCGCGGGGAGGGTGAGGGAGGTGGTGGAGCTGAGGCTGCCGCTAGGAATCCGCGCCGTCCCCGCCGTCCGCCCAGGCTTTTGAGGAGCAACTCCTTAGGCTGTGGCCCCCCTCCCCACTTGGCGAGGAAGTGGGCCCAAGAGACTGCTCCAAGGCCGCGCGATTCCCCATCCCCCGCTCCCGTGCGGCGCCCTCCGCGCACCCGAGGGCTCGCTTCGGCCCGCAGGCCGCCGCGCAGATCCGCGCAGCTGGGGGCGAGGGAGTTGATCCTGTTTACGCACCACAATCCCCTTCAGCTGGGGAAGCGGTCATTTAGGCTCCTCCTAGAACAGCCCGGGGCGGAAGGAGGAGAGGCTTGGGAGGCACTGGGAAGGCGCTGGGGTTAAGCGACCACTATGGCAAGGAGCGAGACCCCCGGAATCTGGATACCTCCTCGGCCAACTACGTGAGGTGGACACCGCTGCTCGCGGATCCGGCGCCAGCTAGGCGGGAGGAGGCTGAAGGGGGAAAGGGAGACGGGAAGGGGGACAGGAAATCGCTAGCTGGTGATTTAAATTTCAGGAAATACGAGTCTTTCCAAAGCTTAGGAGAAATGGCCGAGGAAAGGCGCAATTCCACGTGATGGAGCCACACTGGATTAGGAATGGATACAAGAGAAAGAAAATAACCATATTGAAGGAGCTACATCTTCTTGTGGGTGTGCATTTCCATTATACGTATGCTCGTCTCAAAAATGACATACATAAATATGTGCAATGAATTACATATATTTACACAGATTTTGAAGGGTGAGCTGTTAACCCTGTAAAAGGCAACTGGCATGAGCCTAAGGCATTCTGGTGACCAAATGGTGGGAGGGGTCAAAGGATTATTGGCAGGGCGCCCTATGCGACACCGCAGAGTTTAGATTTTCATATTAAGCGTGATTAGACAGTTTTTGTTGCAGAGGTCGGTTGACAGTTGACTTTTGGAAGCGAGGGGAGACTCAAGGTATGAGGACTGTGCTGGGAATGGCTTCTCAGAGCAGAGAGAGCACCTGCTTCAGCACCACCCAAGTGGATAGTACCAGAGCCGGGGAGCACACCTGGGAAATGAAGTGGGCTAGTGAGAACAAATGGGTAGGGATGGTTTGCTTGGCAGTTTTTGTTTACCTAAGTTAGACTGCTTTTTTAAAAAAATAATAAGCTATATGTATTATATATATGTAATATGGGTGTTTATTGCAACATTGGTTGCAAAAATAAAAATAAAACCTAAATCAAATGCTAACCAATAAATAAATGACTGAATAAATTCTTATACACCCATACTATAGAACGTTACACAACTATCAAAATAATGAAATATAGGTTGCATTGGCAAACACGTATGCAAAAACTGTTAATGATAAAAGTGGGGTGGCTAGGAAACAGCCTGAGAGCGAGCATTTTGTCTGTTCCTGTTTCCCCAGCATTCCCAGAACAGTGCCTGACACATAGTAGGTGCTCCAGAAATAGTTGCCGAATTGACTTATGGTTGTCGTCTTAATCATGTCCATATGTAAATTCTTTCATATCTTTAAAATTAATTAGATCCTTGTGATTTACCTGGAATGATGAAAAGAAATCTAATTGCAAGTAGCATCTCTAGTGTTTTAGAACAATGAACATTTTAAAAGAATATAAATGTATATGTTTTTATTAGCACTTTTAAAAGAATGAGAGGGTTACACAGTAAGCTTAATATTGGTTATTCTGGTGTATAAGTAGTGGAAAGCGGGTATCTTTTTGGGGTCATTTAAAAGCCTTTTTGGAAATTTTGCCTTTTTTCCTCAACATTTTGTTTAGTAACCCCACAATCTCAAGCCAACTTCCACCTGTGTATCAAAAAGAGCAGTGGACTTGGAGGATGATGGCTCCATTTTAAAACCTGGTTCTAAGGCCGGCATGGTGGATCATGCCTGGAATCCCAGAACTTTGGGAGGCCAAGGCGGGCGGATCATTTGAGGCCAGGAGTTCAAGACCAGTCTGGCCAAAATGGCGAAGCCTGTCTCTACTAAAAATACAAAAAGTTAGCCAGGCATGCTGGCACATGCCTGTAGTCCGAACTACTTGGGAGGCTGAGGCATGAGAAGCACTTGAGCCTGGGAGGCAGAGCTTGCAGTGAGCCGAGATCATGCCACTGCACTCTAGCCTGGGTGACAAAGTGAGACTCTGTCTCAAAAACAAAAGAAAACAAAACAAAACAAAACAGAAAAACAGAAAATCCCTGGTTCTAGCCTGGCTGGGTAGTGCACTCTTGTAGTCCCCACTACTTGGGAGGCCAAGGTGGAAAGATCACTTAAGCCCATGAGTTTGAGGCCAGTCTGGGCAACATAGTAAGACTGCCATCTCATGAATAAATAAAATATAAAAATAAAAAAAAACCCTAACTCTGCCACTTCTTAGTTTCTTTATGCAAATAACTTAACATCTTTATGTTTCAATTTTCATCCTTTGTAAAATGAGGATTAAAATACTTCCTTCTCAACACTGTGAGAATTAAATGAGGAAATGCTTATAGGATATGAGGATAACGCTGGGCAATATCCATTAGGAATAACATTTTCAGGACCATACAATGTAACGTCTTAAAACAAAATTAATACATGTAAAAGTAATTGGAAAATTTGTCATCACTGATACATATGTGCAAAGAATATGAATATGGAGTCTGATGGACCTGTGTTTGTGTTGCCAGATTACAAGCTGAGTGACCTTGAGCAAAGCTGCTTTAGCCTCTTGTAGCCGCAGTTTTTTAATTTGTAAAATGATGATGGTGACATAGATGATGTTCATAGAACCGAATGAAATTGTGTAAAACATGTAAGAGTATCAGGCCCATATAGACACTCAATACATTGTAACTATTTTTATTTAAAAATATACTTACTGAATATATCACAACTTTTAGTTTAGATTTAGGTTTGTTACTGGGGTGTATTGCATGATGCTAAGGTTTGGAGCAGAAATGATCCCATCACCCAAGCACTGAGCATAGTTCCCCATAGTTAGTTTTTCAACCCTTGCCCCTCTTCCTCCCTCCCCAGCTAGAAGTCCTCGGTGTCTATTGTCACCTGTGGAATAAGGACTTACTAGCCGGGGAGGGAGGGAGAGGGGTAAGGGTTGAAAAACTGTTTTATGTCCATGGGTACCCAATGGTTAGCACCCACTAAAAATGAGAACGTGCAGTATTTGGTTTTTTTCTTCCTGCATTAATTCATTTCTTGCTATATATTTTTAAGGTAGCTAGTGCTTTCAATCTTATTGTAGATTTGTTAATTATTACCTCAGATTGGACCTTTAACATTGTCTGTCTAATGGACAATGCTTATTATCATTCTTTTGAAAATTGTGAAATTGAGCCCAAGTGAACGATGGACTTAGTTGTCATTCAGAGGAATCACAAGCTATGGTTGAAACGATTCTCCTGCCTCAGCCTCCCGACTGCTTCTGTTCCCCCATAATGCCTATGTTGAAAACGAATCCACAAAGCAATAGTCTTAAGAAGTGGGTTCTTTTGGATGTGGTTAGGTCATAAGGGCTCTTCTGCCCACATGAATGGGATTCGTACCCTTGTAAACGAGGCTTCAGGGAGCTCGTTTGCCCCCTTCTACCCTGTATGGATGCAGTGGGAAGCTGCCATCTATAAAGCAGACAGTGAGCCCTCACCAGATACCAAATTTGCTGGTGCCTAGACCTTGGACTTCCAAACCTCCAGCATTGTAAGCAATAAATTTCTGTTGTTTATAAATGATCCAGGCTAAGTTATTTTGTTATAACAGCATGAACAGGCTAAGACATTGTGCTAACAACTGTTCCACATTTCACTGTTCCAGTCTTTGCTGAATTCATATTGTAGAGTTCAAAAACAGCATTGTGACACAGGACATAGTTGTGTGCAAGTATATGAAAATACAGTAGTTAAGAGTGCTGGGACTGGATTGTACACATATGTATACACACAATTATGTCATGTGTCATAATGTGTCCTGGGCTTGGGTTACACACACACACACACACACATATACAATATAATACCAGCACATTTAACAATGTATTTTCCTTTTATTCATGTTTGTTTTCAGGTACAGTTTAACATCTGCAGAAGTTATTTCTTATTTTTATTTTTGAATTAGTGTCAACGATTTATGATGTGCTTGACTCCTTCCCTTTGCCTACCTCAGAATGTCTTAGCATTAGAGATCTTAACTGGTACACTTTACATTTTATTTTATTTTATTTTATTTTATTTTTGAGATAGAATCTAGCTCTGTCACCCAGGTTGGAGTGCAGTGGTGTGATCTTGGTTCACTGCAACCTCCACCTCCCAGGTTCAAGCAATTCTTATGCTTCAGCCTTCTGAGTAGCTGGGATTATAGGCATGTGCCACCACACCCGGCTAATTTTTTTTTTTTTGTAGTTTTCAAAGCAGAGACAGGGTTTCACTATATTGGTCAGGCTGGTCTTGAACTCCTGACTCAAGTGATCCACCTGCCTCAGCCTTCCAACATGTTGGGATTGCAGGTATGAGCCACCGTGCCCAGCCAGGTACACTTTACATTTATCTCAGGGCTTCCTTTCTGGTTAGATTTAATATACACAAAGACAAAGCCATCCTCCTGGACCAATTCTGAAGAACCTAGGTCCTCCCTTAGGCCCCCCCCAAAGGATTCTGTAGCCATGGCAATGAGCAATAGGCCTCATTTGTCTGCTAGGCTCTTAGGGGATCTGGTTTCCTCCTTTTACAGTCACATGCAGCTTGGTCTGGGTGATGGCGATAGTAATGTCAGCTTTGTATTTTGTTCTGGGCCAATTTAGCATAGCAATTTATGTTCCAAATAATGCTTTTGCTGTTTCCCAACATAAATCTTATCTGTCCTGAACAACCAGGACAGCCCCACTCACTTTTTCTCCACAAATGTAAGTGAATACTCAATTAAAACTAGATTCCATGACGATAGTTTTCTACTTTTTTTGTTCTTGACTCCTTTTGTGAGGCTGGCTAGAGTTCCATGGAAAAAGAACACAAACCTCCTTACATTAGGTGGAAATATCTGTATTATTTCCACCACACCAATACTTCTAATTTTATATCTCCAGGTTCAAACATTTGTCTAAGTTCCAGATTCACATAACCAACTCCTGACAGAATATCTCTACATACGTATCGAATAGGCTAACAGGTGTCCCAAGCATAACATGGTTGAAAGTGAATTCTCAATTTTTTTTAACCTCAAATTCATTCTCCGTGAAGGTTACTTTTTTTTTTTTTTTTTTTTTTTTGAGAGTGTCTCACTCATTCTGTCACCCAGGCTGGAGTGCAGTGGCTTGATCTTGGCTCACTGCAATCTCCACCTCTCAGGTTCAAGTGATCTGCCTGCCTTAGCCTCCTGAGTAGCTGGGATTACAGGCGCCTGCCACCATGCTGGCTAATTTTTGTATTTTTAGTAGAGATGGGGTTTCGTCATGTTGGCCAGGCTGGTCTTGAACTCCTGACCTCAAGAGATCCACCCGCCTTGGCCTCCCAAAGTGCTGGGATTACAGGTATGAGCCACCGCACCCCACTGAAGGTTTCTTATCTCAGTAAGAGGCATCATAGTTTACTCAGTTGCTCAGATAAAAAACATATTGGTTTATTCTTGATCCCTGTCTTTTTAACCCTTTGCATCCAATCTATCAGGAAGTCCTATCGGTTCTTCACAAGCAAGCTGTTTCCAGGCACTTCTCACCATTCCTACTGTTGCCACTGTAGTGCAAGCCACTGTCACCCCCATGCAGAACACTGCACATGGCATCCTGATGTCCGTCCCACTCCCACTCTTTCCCGTTACAGTCTGTTGTGAATATTTCCGTGCCTGCATCATACTCCAGGTCCTCACTCACTTTATTTTTCTTCAGAACACTTGTCACCAACTGTAATTACAAAAGAAACTTGCCTACTTGTATATTGTACCCCCATCATCCTCTGCAACCCCAGTGTGTAAATACCTTTAGGCCAGAGATTATATTCTGTTTATAACTATATTCCCAGTACTTAGAACTGACCCAACTGTATAAGGGTGCTCATATTGGTTCGATGAATGTACAGATACATTACTTATTCAAGATTGTCATTCTTCTCCTTCACCAAGGCCCAAGTCAAGTTCTTCCTTCTCCTTGAAGCTATAACCAACTAGTCTAGCCCCCACCATCACTCACTTCCTTTGAAGTCCTACAGCAATCATGGTATGGGCAACTTTCAATTAATCAAAATGTTGGGAGTCATGGAGGGCTGGGAGAAGATAAGGTGGCATGGAGAATCCAAATTCATGATAAAAATAGAATTAGTAAAAAATCCAGTACAACATTTATGTAATATTTTTGATATATCTAATTTCTAGGGCATATTTTCCCTGTATAGATTTCTTTCAAAGGTAAAAATGATACAGCTACTTTTAGGAACACAAAATGTTACACAAATTGTTAAACCAAAAAATAGCAGTCTTCTTTGATTTTCAAATAATACAGCGAGGTCCACGACATATGAGTGTATCAATGAACAAACTGTCTTTTTAGAGTTCTGTATTTTCCAGCCATAGTCTGAGATACTGATCTCAATTTTGTTTTTGCTCTCTGCTTCCCCAGCACCATCATTTCCCATCTTCATACTGAGCAACCTCACAAAGCTGTCATTCTTCAGTCTTTGCAAACAAGGTTTCCATGCATTGGACCTAAGCCACTGGTCGTCATCATTTTCTTCAGAGTGTTCTCTGAAAAACTAATGGTACTGTGTGAATATGGTTACTGAGCAAAATAACACATTAAAGTTTTTATTTATTTATTTATTTATTTATTTATTTATTTATTTATTTAAGATGGAGTCTCACTCTGTCACCCAGGCTGGAGGGCAGTGGTGCGATCTCGGCTCACTGCAAGTTCCGCCTCCTGAGTTCACGCCATTCTCCTGCCTCAGCCTCCCGAGTAGCTGGGACTACAGGCGCCCGCCACCACACCCAGCTAATTTGTTGTATTTTTAGTAGAGACGGGGTTTCACCGTGTTAGCCAGGATGGTCTCAATCTCCTGACCTCGTGATCCGCCCGCCTCGGCCTCCCAAAGTGCTGGGATTACAGGCGTGAGCCACCGAGCCCGGCCAAAGTTATCTTCTATTCTTAAGGCTGCAAATATTTTTTGTTTAGTGCAGATCAAACCAAACAAGGACCATTTTCCGAGTCTCCTGTGATGGATCCAATCCATTACATCTTTTTCTCTTCCAAGAAAAACAATTTTCCATAACGTTTTCCTTCCTTCCTTCCTTCCTTCCTTCCTTCCTTCCTTCCTTCCTTAGAAAAACAATTCCTCTCCATATAATCGTTTCTTCCTTCCTTCCTTCCTTTCCTTCCTTTCCTTTCCTTCCTTCCTTCCTTCCTTCCTTTCTTCCTTCCTTCCCTTTCCTTTCCCTTTCCTTCCCTTTCTTTCTTTCTCTTTTCTTTTCGTTTCTTCTTTCTTTCTTTCTTTCTTTCTTTCTTTCTTTCTTTCTTTCTTTCTTTCTTCTCTGTTAAACACAAGTGACAATGATTCAGGTTGCTTACCATGTTCCCCTTCCCCCCATTTTTCTAATTTTTCAAATATTTCAAACATTGTTAAGATGCTGACATTTTGATTACTGAGGTTATTTTAACTACACTTAAACTTTCAAATGTTTAACAACAGCATATAGCTCAGATTTCCAGAGAATAGTGACAGAATGTCAGGCTGTGGCAAAGTAGGTTGTATTTGATTGGTGAGGGGTTTAATGCTTAGCAGATGGTATCAACTAGCAAATATTTTTAAATATGCAGGTGTTATGGCAATTTTAATATTTTTTCACAGATGCAATATTGCTTTCTAAATGCAGTTATGTTGCAAACCAATTAATATACCTCCAGACAATTAGTAATTGATTAACCATAACAATTATTTTATATACTCTTACATGTTTCTCTTTTTTTCTTTTTCATGTCTTATGTTTCAGACTATAATTTCCTCTTCCTTCATATATATCACAAAACCTAGCACAGCTGAATTAGTCAGGATTCTTTTGCAAGCGGTTGTAAGTATAAAAATTCAGTTCTAACCAGCTTAGGGGATGATTACCTGGGTGTGATATGTAACAAAAGGAAGAGTTGATGAAGCAATACACAAGGGACAGAAAGGATCAGCTGGACTTCAGGAATAACCAGAACTAGAAACTTTGGAGCCAAATGAGTGGAAAGGGAGAATCATTGCTCTATAAAAGGGGGTACTATTTCCCAAGAAGGGACCAGTGAAGGTTCTGGGAAGGGAAAAGAAAAAGTAAAAACAATAATAAATGACAGAGGTGTGATTTGAGCTAAGATGGTCCAACTCCAGTGCCTGAACTCCAAGCACAGTGCCTGCCAAGCCCACCATCGCTGATAACCCTTGTTTTTTTAGTCAAATAACTGTAACTCTGTCTAATCTTACAGAAGACATAGTTACAGAGTTCAAAGACCGGATGGGAGTTTTGTTTTTTTGTTTTGTTTTTTTTGTTTTTGTTTTTTTTTTAACAATCTCTTGAAGTTTGTTCTACATCTAGAGTCCTGTGATTAACTAAGAAACAAACTGAGTAAGGGAAGTTAGGGTATCTGGCTATTTCCACTTCCCACCCCCAACCTCTCCTCCCAACACCCACGTGCATTGCCACATACTCAGGTGCCCGGAACCCCCCACACTGAAGTAGCAGGCACAATCCCCATCACTTGTCTAAATGTACAGGAGGTATTTGTTGACATTAAGAAATCCCAATTCCCTTAAATTGCAAAATATAATGAGATTTCCTACTAATGATGACTGGTCTGGCTCCAAGCTGCTGTTGGGATCATGTGATTGGCTTGGCAGAGTGACCGTTATTTTCTTGCTTACCCCGCATTATGTTTTACAAAATGTCATTCCTGAATAATCACAGGACTTACAATACTGACAAGTGAGAATTAATAAACAGTGGAATAGACTGTGTACTCTAGAGGAAAATCAGATGACTGATTGAAAAACAAAGCACAATTCCCAAAGATCAAATTGTCACTTAAAGTGCAATATACTGTTTGAGAACATTCTGAAAAGTGGGAATAAGGAGAATATGGGGAGTTACATAAGTAGACTAGGAAACAGTGAACAAACTTACATTTTTTTTGAGGGGAAAAAAGATGATATTATTATGTTACAAGGTTCAGAAAATCTGATCAGTGTTTTATGGAAAATAATGTGCAGGGAATTCCCCCCTCTTCCTTTACTAGTATCATGGATTACACGTAGACATTCCAAAGATGGGAGTTAAGTGTCAGTTTCAAGGAGTGTCTGGTACAGCAGTGTTCACAGACTGGGTGTCCAGACATGGGACTGGGTTATAAGGTGGAGTAGAAGGCTCTTAAGAGCAGCAATATGCCAGGAGTTAGTGTTATGAATCCAACAGATCTTGTTCTAACATAGGTAGCATTATTACTTATCTGTGGATTCATAAAAAATGACCCCGGCCGGGCGCAGTGGCTCAAGCCTGTAATCCCAGCACTTTGGGACGCCGAGACGGGCGGATCACGAGGTCAGGAGATCGAGGCCATCCTGGTTAACATGAGGAAAGCCCGTCTCTACTAAAAAATACAAAAAACTAGCCGGGCGAGGTGGCGGGCGCCTGTTGTCCCAGCTACTAGGGAGGCTGAGGCAGGAGAATGGTGTAAACCCGGGAGGCGGAGCTTGCAGTGAGCTAAGATCCAGCTACTGCACTCCAACCTGGGTGACAGAGCAAGACTCCATCTCCGGAAAAAAAAAAAAAAAAAAAAAAGACCCCATAACTTAGCAGCTTAAAACAACAAATATTTATTATCCTACACTTTCTGGGTGTTCAGGAGTTCGGGGGCATTCAGTTGGGTGGTTTTGGCTCAAGGTCTTTCATGAGGTTGCATTGAAGCTGTTAGCTGGGGCAGCAGTTTCTGATGGCTCCACTGGAGCTGGTGCATCTGCTGCCAAGTTCACTCACATAGGTGACGGCAGGTCTCAGTTTCTCTCTATCTGTTGGCTGGAGGCTTCAGTTTTTTGCCATATGGGCCTCACCACACGACATGGCAGAGATGGAAAGAGAGGAGGAACATGCACTCAAGCCAGAAGCTGCAGTCTTTATAACCTCATCTCGGAAGTGACATGTTATGGTTTCTACCATATGCTGTTGCACTGTGGGAGAGGACTGACTACCCAAGGGACTACACTGACAGCTAGGAGGCAGGGATTGTTGGAGCCTGGGTACCACAGGCACAAAAACATCCATTAAGATTGTTCTGTCTCAGAAATGCCAGGTCAAATCTGAAATATTCCTAACAAGAAAGCCCAAGAGAATAGACGTATTTTTGTTTGAATAAACAGCATTTTGTGTGTGTGTGTGGGCGCGCGCGTGCGTGTGCGTGTGATCATTGCTCTACGAATATTTAAAACAGAGGTCAGCAAACTATATATAGCCTTTGGGCCAAACAAGGCTGCCTATTTTTGTGTAGTCCGTGAAATAAGAATGGTTCCACATTTTTATTTACTTATTTATTTATTTTTTGAGATGGTGTCTCACTCTGTCACCCAGGCTGGAGCGCAGTGGCGTGATCTCAGCTCACTGCAGCCTCCACCTCCTGGGTTCAAGCCATTCTTGCTTCGAGCCTCAGCCTCATAAGTAGCTGGGACCACAAGTGCGCCACCACGTCTGGCTCATTTTTTTTTTTTTTGTATTTTTAGTAGAGACAAGGTTTTGCCATGTTGCCCAGGTGGGTCTCAAACTCCAGAGCTCAAGCGATCCACCTACCTCAGCCTCCAAAGTGCTGGGATTACAGGCGTGAGCCGTCGCACCTGATTGAGCTGCTGCAGCCGGCCTCACATTTTTAAATAGTTGGTAAAAAGTCAAAACGATAACTATACTGATGACATAGGAAAACTACATGGTTCAAATTTCAGTGTACATTAAATAAATTTTTACTGGAACACAAATTTTGAACAAATTTTGTGATGTTAAGTGTCTCTAAAATGTTAAACCAATGTTTCATAAACTGTTTAAACAGAACATCGATCTCACAAGAATTATTAGGTGTTCCACGAGAAATGATCTGTGGTCAAGTAACTGTGGGAAATCCAAAATTTAAAAATATTAACATATATGTGTGTATACATATGTATGTGTACACACACACACAACTAGAACCTTCTAGAGCTTTTAGTTTGATACCGTAAACATACTAAATTATATTTCCAAAAATATAATTTAGTATGTGATGTTTTCTAAATGTTTTTCAACTGCCAAAACCCTTTCCCCAAAACTAATGTTAATATCACTGAGGGCACTTGTGTTCCACCAACTACTGTTCCCATAAGTATTGAGATATGTTGCATTAGATACACACCATACATATTTCCTGTTATGTACCACTTGTTGAGAGTATAGAACAGATGCACACCATCTACTATTAATCTTTAAAATAAGCATAATCAACCTGTATCTTGCTATAATTATGTGTAATAAACTTAGGGGTATCATGACCTCTGCTCATTGTGAACTCCTTCTCCTTTCTCTGAAGACCACCCATCTTTGGTGGGATGAGGGCAGGAAGAACAATGGAAGCAACAGACAGCTACAGTCCTCAGCAACTGAGTCTCACTCAGGAAATCCACCAAGACAATGAGTCCCTGGGTCCTTTCTTGAAGCAATATAAATTCATTAACCCTGGTCATGACTAGAAAAGAGGAAGAAAAAATAGGCACATGACAAGCCCAAGATGTTTCCCAGCTCAGAGTGGGGGTTTGAAATACCCCCTTTTGTTCACCCACTTTTATGGTGGCAGAACCATTCTCTTACTCATTTGTACTGGCTGTCTGGTCTTGCCCTATTTCATGCAGTCTTAGTGGAAATGCTGAACACAGTGCTTTGTGCTGGCTGTCACTCAGGGAAAAAAGTAGTATGGAGATGAGTCAGCCAGTGACAGGGTCATAAGGAGATTGTCTATGATTTTCATGAGGGGAGCTGGGAGTTGTGAGCTATCAAGGTTCTTGTGCATTCTGAGGTCTGGGCATTCTATTTGAATAATGGCAGCTTTCCAATATCCTTTTTTTATTTTTTTTTGGAGATGGGGTCTCACTATGTTGCCCAGACTGGACTCGAACTCCCCAGCTCAAGTGACCTTCCAGCCTCCCAAGTAGCTGGGACTACAGGTATGCACTATTCTATCCAGCTCAGCATCCTTCTAATAAATACTTTTTATTGTTTAAGTAAGTCAGAGTCAATTTTCCTTTCTGCCAATCAAATAATTACAGTGGAATTGGGGTCAGGGTGCAGTATAATCAGAGAATATATACTAAGATTTTAACAGTAACAGTTGCTTTCTAAAATTGTTCTTGTCTGTATTTTCTACAATGAATAATGAATATGTATTATTTTTATACTATCAAATGAAAGGATAATAGAGCTACTTTTACCAGGATCAAAGACAGAGATAAAACCAGGCACCTGAGATTTGTTGATTACCACAATTGAGCCTTGAATTTGGCTCTAAGGTTCCTGGGAGTTAAGGAGAAAACTTGGGACAGGAAACATATGGGTTATTTAGTCTGACAAAAAGAAGAAAACATATTTTGCTAAAGAGATGAGGTTTCTCCTGGCACGGAATTTAAGGAGAAATCTTGTACATGTGTGTGTGGGTTCTTGTGTAAGATACATAGAGTAACTTAACGGCTATTATCTTGAAATGTGGTTTTACAAAAGACAGAATGCTTTTCAAATGGATTTTTATATTATTATGGTATAAAAACTAAGAGACTCACAGTAAATCTTAACATAATGAAGACATCTTTGCAAGATATGAAAATAATAAGGTCAGATAAATTTCATTCTTCAGGTACCAACCTAATGCAGGGAAATCCTAGCTCTTACTTTCACTTACCTTAAAAGCCTCACTATTTCCAATGTAGATCCAATTCACAAAATAATTCTTCTTCTTCTTCCTCCTCCTCCTCTTCCTCCTCCTCCTCCTCCTCCTCCTTCTCCTCCTCCTCCTCCTCCTTCTCCTTCCTTTTTTTTTTGAGATGGAGTCTCACTCTATCGCCCAGGCTGTAATACAGTGGCGCCATCTTGGCTCACTGCAACTTTCGCCTCCAGGGTTCAAGTGATTCTCTTGCCTCAGCCTCCTGAGTAGCTGGGATTACAAGCGCATGTCCCCACACCAGGGTAATTTTTGTATTATCAGTGGAGATGGGGTTTCACCATGTTGGTCAGGCTGGTCTCGAACTCCTGACCTCGTGATCCGACCACCTCGGCCTTCCAAAGTGCTGCAATTACAGGCATGAGCCACCACACCCGGCCAGCACAACATTATTCTTCACAAGTGAATATATTTGTGATTAGTTTGTGCACATTCCTCACTGAACAGCAGAAATTTAATCAAACACATCCAGTCGAGTTGGCTCTTCTTCCCAGTTATCTTTTTTCACCTCTTTGTCAACTCCAAATTTCTATAAATCCTCTCTGATCCAAGTTCACCTCTTGGCCTCAACTAAGGACAATCAAGTTTTTGCCTACCTTACTTAATAAAAACGTATGGTTTAGTTAGTAGAATAATTTGCATTTATTGTTCTAAAACAAGGCCTTTAATGCCTTACCAACCTATCAAAAAATATTATCTTGGGACTTCTGCTTTTGACATGATGGTGAACTATGTAGTCTTAAAGAGCTCTTCTCTTACCAAACAACTTGAACCAACACAAAACCTAATTTTTATAACATTGCTTGTATCACAGAAAACAGGAAACTTTCCAAAGGAAAACAGTAACAACAACAACAACAACAGACACCCAGGGAATCCTAAGTGCCTCTGAGAAAGCAGAGTTGAAGAGGGGCAAACAAAATTAAGAGATCAGCCCTGCAATCCAGAAACTCAGCTGATGGCCCATGGTAAGATGAGGGGAGTTGGGGGACGGGACAAGTTTAAAACCCCAGGTGCTCCAAATATGGATTAAAAGTGGTTGCAGGCTGGGCGCGGTGGCTCACGCCTGTAATCCCAGCACTTTGGGAGGCCGAAGTGGGTGGATCACCTGAGGTTGGGAGTTCAAGACTAGCCTGACTAACATGGTGAAACCCCATCTCTACTAAAAATATAAAAAATTAGCCAGGTGTTGTGTGTGCCTGTAATCCCAGCAACTCAGGAGGCTGGGGCAGGAGAATTGCTTGAACGCGGGAGGCAGAGGTTGCGGTGAGCCAAGACCTCATCATTGCACTCCAGCCTGGGCAACAAGTGTGAAACACTGTGTCAAAAAAAAAAAAAAAAAGATTGTAGGTTTGTAACAGCCTCCAACTCCTTAATGAGGTGAATAAAAATCATCTCTGGAGGAAAAATTCTTAATTTAAGCCACACATTTTTCAACAGATGAATTTCAGCAAAATATCAGTTCATGATCAAAGATCACCAAAACCATATAGAAGAAAAAAGAATAAGATTCCAAACAAACAATAAGCAACACACTTAGACCACTAATGACTTCAGGTATGAGAACGCCAGCTAGGAAATATAAAATATGGATGAAATGTTCAAAGAGATAAAGGATGAAGCCATAAAGATGAGTTAGGTCATGAGACTATAAAATATGCTAAGGTAGCTATAAAAAATAATTTAAACTTCAATGAGACCAGGTAACAATAATCCATTTCCAAACAACATTACAGAGCTGGGGAAATAATCAACTATCCACCAGCAGTAGAATGAATACATTATGGGCAATAGAATACCATGCATTAATGAAAACGATCCAACTAGAGCTGTATGTTATCATATGAATGCATCTCTCAATACTAAACTAAAGAAACAAGATCTTCAAGAATAAAAATAATAGGATCCCACATACTTCAAAAACAGGCAAATTATGATACCGGTTGGAGATATTTGTGTGTTTATATGTGCACATAAATGATAAAGGAAATCAAGAAAATGATTATCATGCCATCAAGATAGCTGTAATCACTGGGAGTGTGTGAGGGAGGGATGTATGAAGGAGAGAGGCACATGGGGTTTCTAGGACGCTGGAACTATTCTTTTTCTTGATGAGTGGTTATGCACATATTCATTTCATCATTTTTCTTTGAAGTGTTTGCACATTTTATGTACTATTCTGTGTATGTATCACATGATAAAAGCAAAGAAAAAAGCCACACAGGGACCCACACTCCCGCCAATGAGGATAGTTATGTTGTTCTTATCTGACCACATCCATCAGTAAGCGATATATCAGAGCTGCCTCTCAAAAAACAAACAACCAGAAAACAATCAAAAAGCAGATAAATTTATTAAAATGGATTGTATGACAGTTAAGAATGCTTGTCCATCAAAGACACCGTAAAGGAGAGAAAAGGCAACCTACAGAGTGTGAGGAGATATTTATAAAAATTCCAGAAAAGTCAGATATACACTAAGGGCTCGGCTGGGGTAACTACCTCATTCTAGGTGTCTGATGCCATCTCTGTCTCTAATTCTGCTTGTAAAAATAGTTTTATTCTCCTTTCATATTATAAAAATAATACATATTCATTATTTGTTGTAAGAAATATAGACAAGGAAAATGAAAAGAAAAGCAACTGTTACTTTAAAAATTTTAGTGTATATTATCTGATTCTACATCCTACTACCATGCCTCAACTTCATTATTGTTATTTGGTTGCCAGTAAGGAAAATTGACTCCGATTTACCTGAACAATGAAAAGGCTGGACATGGTGGCTTATGCCTGTAATCCCAGCACTTTGGAAGGCTGAGGCAGGCAGATCACCTGAGGTCAGGAGTTCAAGAGCAGCCAGCCCAACATGGCAAAACCCCGTCTCTACTAAAAACATAAAATATTAGCCGGGCGTGGTGGCAAGCACCTGTAATCCCAGTTACCTGGGAGGCTGAGGCAGGAGAATTGCTTGAACCTGGGAGGCAGAGATTGCAGTGAGCTGAGATTGAGCCACTGCACTCCAGCCTGGGCCACAAGAGCAAAACTCTGTCTCAAAACAAAACAAAACAAAACCACACACAATGAAAATTATTTATTAAAAGAATATTACAGAGGCTTGTTCAAATCAAGCAGAATGCTCAGGCCATGGAATATACAGGAACCTTGGTGGCCCTCAGCTGTCAGCAACTGAAATCATGGGCAATCTCCCTAGGACCCTTCCTTGGATTGTTTTATCTTTAAACAACTTTTGTTCCTGAATGGTTACACTCCAGATCTAAAATTCCAGCAAAGGTGCTTATTAGTGGGCATGGAGCACTGTGTTAGGAAATTCCCCGAATACATGGAATGTGACAAGGGCAGGCACCCAGACTAAAGGAGTATGTGTATATTTGGGGGGAAGGTTGTAAAGGGACAGTTATTTTCCCATGAAAACAAGGGAAAAATGATGAGCCATTCAAAACAACAAACATAAGACCATCCTCTGCATATTGTTTTAAGGCAGTGTTTTATTTTTTATTATTTTTACTTTTTTTTTTTTTGAGACAGAGTCTCGCTCTGTTGCCCAGGCTGGAGTGCAGCGGCATGATCTCGGGTCACTGCAACCTTGGCCTCCTGGGTTCAAGTGATTCTCCTGCCTCAGCCTCCCAAGAGTGATTCTCCTGCCTCAGCCTCCCAAAGTAGCTGCGACAGGAGCATCCTGCCTTGCCCGGATAATTTTTTTTTTTGTATTTTTAGTAGAGACGGGTTTCACCATGTTGGCCAGGCCGGTCTTGAACTCCTGACCTCAGGTGATCCGCCTGCCTCGGCCTCCCAAAGTGCTGGGATTACAGGCATGAGACACTGTGCCTGTCCTTAAGGCAGTGTTTTAAAACTTAATATTTCTCAATATTTCTGTGTCCTTAAGGATTCCCTTATAATTAGTTTTAGCTTTTATATTGAAATATACAATACATCCAAAGAGTGCAAAAATTGTAAGGGTATAGGCTGATGAATTCTCACTGTGTAACTATCACTAATATCAATAAATAAAATAATGTCCCCCAAACTCCCCTAATCATTACTCACATATTCCTTCCCAAAGATAACCACCAACCTGATGTGTAACATCATGAATTAGTTTTACCTGTTACTGAATTTTGTGTGATTGGAATCTGTGTGAATTCTTTTGTCTGGCTTTTTTTGATAAGTGTATTTGTGAGATTCACTCCTGTTGCTATGTTTGGCAGCTGTCTATCTGTGCATATGTTATATAGCCTTTCCATTGAATAAAAATACCATCATTTATTTGGTATATTTATTTACTGTTGAGGGAAAGTAAGCAGTTTCTACCTTTTAGCTAGCACAAAGACTACAGTGATGAACTCTATACCATTTTTGTGTGTGTGTGTGAACATATGGGTGCATTTGCAAATGTTCAGCTTCAGCAAATATTGCCAAATAGCTTTCCAAAATTGTTTTGCTAATTTACATCCCCCCATCAGTGTACAAGAGTTTCCAGTTCCTCTACATTCTTGTCAACATTTGTGATTGCTAATCTTTGAAATGTTAGCCATTTTTGGTGGGTGAGTAATGGTATCTCATTACGGTTTGAATTTATGTCTAGGTTTTAAATTACATTTCCATAGTGACTAATGGGATTGAGTGTTTCCCTCATAAATTGAACGGGCCTTTAAAATATTCTCTTTTGTAAAAAATACCTGTTGTGTCTTTTGCAAATTAAAAAAAGTCTATTTTTTCTTATTCATTTGTAAGAATTATTTGAATATTCTGGATATGATATCTTTGTTGGCTAAATATATTCCCACTACCTGTTTCCACTCTGTAACTTGTGTTTTCATTCTCTTAATGATGTCTTTCGATAAACAGAAGTTCCTCAGGTTAATATAATTCTATTTCTTAATTTATTTCTTTTTGCTTAACCTAAGTTCTTAAATATCTTTCCCCATATTTATTCATTAAAGCTTTTGTTTTCCCCTTTCACATTTAGATCTACACACATTCGGAGTTGGTTTTAACCTCACTTTT